GCAAAAGAGTTTTGGTGACTCCACACCTCAAGGTGCCTGGCTTCTGGGAAAAAGGATGTGGGAGATCTCAGCAGACAGGGAGTGATTTCCAGGATGTCTAAGTGAGAAAAATGACAAGAGCTTCTATACTTTGCCTCCCTGCAGGTAAGAAATAAAAAAGCCACATAAGAGAATGTGCACATCTGCTCCATTGGATGAGCATTGGTAGGATGAACCAGACGCTCAGGAGCGGGGCCTCTGCCAGTTAGGGGAGAAGCCTGCGGGGAGGCGGCCCTCCAATGATGCGTTTCTGCATGGCTCGGGCACTTGGGGCTCGGGCAGCAGTCACAGGCCCTTCACAGCCCCTCAAAATAAGCACACAGCATCAGTCAAGATGGGGGGCACCCGAAATGCAGTTCAGAGTCTCTGACAAGTCGGCCCCTCACTGGCCCCTGTGGGCTCTGGTCCACCTCCTCCCAAGCTCTCAGTACCTGGGGCAGATGGAGGCCCCTCCGCACTTGGCTGTCCAGTGGTGGGCCTGCAGTGGCACAGGGTGGGGAGTGGCTGTCCCGCTTTGCAAGGGCTGGAGAGGAGTCACTGACCGAGTCTGTCTGCGATGGAGGGTCCTGTACCAGGGGCACAGGGCTGGCTCTCTTTGCCTGCAGGAAGATGCTGGCAGGACCACGCTGCCAGGGGTGAGGCGGTCCCAGCATCCACCCCAGGTGGGAGCGCAGCCTGCAGGCAGCTTTCTCAGGCACAATGTGGGGGATGCTCCAGTGCTTCCTGGCTGGACACCAAGAAGGAAGCAGCTGGGGTCCAAGCCCCAGACTGCACATGAGCAGGGGACGCCTCCACCAGGCTGACCCCGTAAGGCGACCCTGCACCGTCTCCAGGGGGACAGAAGCCCTCTCCAGGCAGGTGGGGGGGCCCCTGTCTGGGGTGGCGCAGGGGCTGGCTTGCCAGGGTGGGTTGGCCTAGGGGAGCCAGCCACAGGAGGCTGTGTGGTACACCACTGGGGGCAGGGTCCCCACAGCCCCTCACATGACCCTGCACCAGGAGCACCTGCGCGGGCACCAAGAGCTCCCATCCGTCCAACCCCTCGGAGGACCACATTCTGGCTGAGAAGGATGCAGAGAAGGATGGAGGGCAGGCAAAGGCCCCAGCCTGGGCTCCAGGCAGGTGGGAGGAGCGGCTATGACCCAGGGGGAGACTGAGGCTGTCCATGAAACTGAGTTGGACTCAGGCAAACAAGATACCAACTGGCCAAGAGCCTCTCTAAGCAGCCAACTGCCCTGTGGGACCCACATCTGTCCACAGCCGAGCGCCCAGCCTCAGGGTCCCACTCCCCAGTGGCCGGGGAGGCAGGTGGGGGTACGTGGGGTTCTTCCTGTGGCAGGCGGCACAATTCAAGTGGGTCCCTGGGAAAGCCGCCAGAAGCACACATCCTGGGTTCTCGGAGGCGAGCCCCTCACTTCTCTGTGCCCTGCCTTGTGGGGCCTGGTGACTCTGGTGTGGACAGCTCTCAGCTTGCAGAGCAGTTGCCGGGGAGGTGGGAGGGCCCCCAGGGAAGCCCCCTGCCTCCTGGCCTCTCTCCTATTAGAATTTAAATGAGGACGGTTTGCAGCCGTCACTGGGCCAGGAGCACAAAGGCTCTGGGCCTCTGAGTTCCACACCTGCTCCATCTGGCCTGACTCGGGGACACGGGGACACGGGGAGATGAGGCGGTCACCTCCAGCTGCTGTCTTTGTTGTCTTGTCCTTCCTCCAAGACCTGAGCTGCGAGCTCCACCCCACAGGCCTGTGGGGAGCCAGTGCCTCACAGTGACCATGGGAACTTAGCGGGCACTGGGATGGAAAGCCTTTCCCATAGAGAACTACCTGCCTGGAGCCCCCTTGCCTACCACCGAGGGGCCTCAGAGCTCCTGGGCTCAGGCTTTGGGGCTGCAGACAGGCCAGGCTCTGACCTGAACATGGTCAGTGGCCCTGGGGAAAATCTTCAGTTGGCTCACTGACCTTCTAGACTTTCCAGTCCTTGCTTATATGCCTAGCCCCCTCCTTCCTCCCCTAGAAATGCACATTCCCCTCTCTTTCCAGGTTCAGTGGGAGTCCTGCCTTCTCCAGAAACACCTCTGGCCATCTGGTTCCCCCAGGTGAACATTCAGTCCAGAATTTAATCAGTCGTAGAGCAGTTGCTTGTCTGAGGGCCTGTGGTGTGAGGATGGAATGGTGAGCAAAGCTCGGGGTGGGGGTGCGGCCAAGGAGGCCGACCTCCAACGGAGCAAGTCCTGGTCCCTTGCCTTCCCCCTTAAGGTCATGTATCTGCGAGGTGCCATCTGCGGCTGCACCTCCTCCCAAGTGGGCACCATCTCCAATTCTTGGTCAGGAGCCCCTCCACACTCTTCCTTGCTGTGCTTGGCCCCTGGCCTGGCACTGTGCTCGTGCAAGAGCCTCTCTCCACCCTGGCTGGACCTGCTTGGACACAGAGATGTTCTAGGACTTTCCACTGGTACCTTGTTTCTCTAGCTGTTGCCACTAATTTTGTGGCACTTTGACACAGCAGCAATAGAAAACTACACAGTAGGGTAGAACAACTGGGAAGAATTAAAGATAAAAGGATAGCAATTGATGCAGACAGACTATGCGACAATAACAAACTCCAGGAAAAACACTAAGCTGTGCCAGGAAGGAAATGTGCACTGTCCACTAGGGTGAAAGATATTTAGCCACGACGGTGTAAACACTAACCATTGATACAAATAAAAGAGCTTTCTATATTGAGCACATGGGGAAGGACAGGGAAGGGGTTATAAGACAGTTAATCTTCATCTAACAGTGGAAGTTAGTGAATAATGTCTAAAATTGACCAGTTAAGAACCTTTAGAGGACAGGAGGGATGGTAGAATATTTGTGATGCACTTAATGCCACCTAATTGCACACTTAGAAATGGCTGACATGGCAAATTGTATGTTATATGTATTTTACCACAATTTAAAAATAAAAAGTAAACAAAACTGGGTGCATTCAGAAAGTACTGCTGAGGCTTCCATGGATGGGGCAGATGGGCTCCAAGCCTTAAGGAGACTCCCTGGGGTGCATGCGGCGGAAGTGAAAGAGAAGGTCCTGTTACCCCACTGGGGACAGGCCATCGGGTGAGAGGGAGAGGCCAGTGGTGCTGGGTGCTGGGTGCCTGGGGCAGTGGTGGTGTAAGCAGCAGGGGAGAGTGCTGGGACCTGGCATGGGCAGCCCTGTACACATCCCAGATCCTCTGCCTCTGTCCCTACTCACGGACGTGGACACAGAGGGCATCAGGGGGGCTACACGTAATACAATTAGGGTATGCTGGGGGCTAAATCACCACCTTATTACTTGAGTTCTATTTGTCCTGCCTGTTCTGTGCTTTTTTTATACCCAATCTTGGTTTCTACTGAACTGATTGTTTCCTTCTGTTAGCCTGGAACCTATGCATTTGTAAGATGTTGGGACGGCTTATCAGTGATTCCATCCCGGCACAGGCCGGAGAGCAAATCTTCCCAAGGCTGAATACTCTCCCAGAAGGCATCTACCCAGTATTAAAACCTGGTGCCATTCCTCGTGGGGACAGCTTCCTAGCTGCAGCAGAGACAGAAGCCCCTTTGATGGCCAGGACTCTACTGAGGTTGGGAATTGTTTCTACAACAATGACACCTGAGTGATTTTTGTGAGATTATTAACAAGCCATTTTCTGATTAGATTATCAGGAGTGGATTCTGTTACCTATGATCAAGAACCCTGATCAATACAGACTCAAGTCCTTCATTTCTATTTCTGAGCTAGTGTCTTTTTCAGACTACTCTATACAAAGTTAATTGCATCTGATCATATATCTGATAAGGGATTAATATCCAGAATATATAAATAACTCTTACAACTCAACAACAAAAACACAATGCTTCCTTAAAATGGGCAAAGGACTTGAACAGACATTTCTCCAAAGAATACAGATGGCCAATGAGCATATGAAAAGATGCTCAGCATCACTCATCATCAGGGAAATGCAAATCAAATCCGTTATGAGCTACCACTTCACACCCATTGGGATGGCTTCTGTGAAAAAAGACAAAATAACAAGTGATGGCAGAGATGTGGAGAAACTGGAGCCCTTCTGCACTATTGGTGGGAATGTAACATGGTGCAGCTGCTCTGGAAAACAGTGTGGAGGTTCCTCAAAAAATTAAAAATAGAATTACCATATGATTCAGTAATTCCACATCTGGGTATGTACCCAAAACAAAAGCAAGGTCTCAAACAGACATTCACACACCTATGTACACAGCAACATTAGTCACAATGGCCAAAAGGTGAAAGCAAGTGTCCATTGATGGATGGCTGGATAAGCAAAACGTGGTCCATCTGCACAATGAAATATTACTCTGCTTTCAAAAGGAGAACCATTCTGACACCTGCCGCAATGTGAAGGAACCCTGAGACCATCGTGCTCAGCAAAGTAAGTCAGACACAGGACAAACAGTGTAGGATTCCACTTCCATGAAGTATCTAAAGTAGACCCACAGACACAGAAAGTGGGTGGTGGGCACCAGGGCATGGGGGAGGAGGTTTAGTGTTTAGTGGGGACAGAGCTTTGGTTCAGGAAGATGGGTTGTTCTGGAGATGGTGGTGAGGATGGTTGCACAACAGTATGAATGCGCTTAATGCCACTGGGTGTGCAGTTAGAAGTGGTTAAAATGGTAAATGTTATGTGTGTTTTACCATGATTTTTAGTAATTGATTTATCTGGAGTGAATTCATATTGTCACCATTGGTTCTGTGGCTGTCACCTGGATGTCAGTTATACCTCCACAAAGCTGTAAAATATCTTTAAAAATAATCATTTTTAAAGCATTATTATAGGTGAAAGAAGCCAGACAAAAAGAGATGCAGTTTGATTTCATTTATGTGAAATTCAAGCACAGCACATCTAGGGTACCGGAAACCAGAAGGGGGCTCGCCAACAGAATGAGAGGGTAGCCCCCACATCTCTGTCGGGTTTGGGGGCTGGGCGCTTGCGGGGGGGGGGGGTGTCCACCACAACTCCCAGAACCATATTTGCTGAAAATCTTTGCATTTCACTGTGTGAAATGTTCCTTCTCTATTTAAGAGAAATAGGTAACTAAATGGAAAAGTTGACAACATATTTGTCATTGGGCAATTGGATGACGTATATGTCATGTTAACCCACTTCCCTCAATAAACAGTAAAGAAAGAAGGAAAAAATCAATAACTCTACAGGTGATCTGAATCCCATGATAAACAGACTGGTTGCCAGAAAGGCTGCCATCACACCACCACCCATTTGCAGGTGAAATAGAACATTCAGAAAAATACACCACATTGTGGGCCATGAAACAAACATTAACAGGGCTGACATCACAAACTGCAGAACCTCCAGAAGGTAACTAAGAAACACCTGTGTATCTGGAGATCAGAAGTGCACACAGCCCTGTCACGGGATGTGGGGCCAGCCCACTCCCAGCCCTCCCCTTTGCTCACAGGACTCGGGATTCCATCCCTGCCCTGGTCCGCCTGCAGGCCTGCTGCCCGCATCCTTCTAGGCAGCACTGCCTTCCATGTCTTACTGTGAGGACCCCCAATGTGGCGACCTCCTCCCTCCCTTCAGGCTGGTCTCGGGTGCTCCCAGCTCGGCCTTGTGATCTCTCACCTCTGTGAGTCTCTCCTCAAGCACTGATGGGCTCCTGGGCCCTACTTTGCTCACCTGTGGACTCAGGGGCCGCTGCCTTGCAGGGCTGTTTTGAAGAGTGAAATTATGCGGGCAAGCACGTTTTATGAAATCTGGAGCTCTCTTCAAGTATAAGCCATAGCTACTGGGCCCTGCAAAGTGGGGGATGTGTCCCCCAGCATCTCAGGGTTTACAACTGAGGGAGCAACAGAGAATGACCTAAAATCAATTCAACGGAACGATGTAATTGCAAAATAAATTACACAAGTCATGGAGGAGAACCCTTGGGTGAGCAATAATGCGCTGGCAGGTTGAGGAATGGCGGGGTCACCCGCAAAGGCTTTGCACAACCCACTCATCTTCTACACCCACATCTCTAATGTGGTGCAGCTGGGGGCCCAAAGCCTGCTCTGGCTGAGCTCTGGCCAAGGAGTGGGAGTTGGGGCATCTCTGGGGCTCTGCCCCTCCCTCTGGCCCACCTCAGTGTCCCTCCAGGCACCAGGGCCCACAGGATACTCTGAGAGCCCACGAGGCTACTGCCCAGCCCAGGGATCTGAGAGTGGCCTGGCATCCCTTCTGCTCCCCTATCCAGCCTGCCTACCTGGCCCATCTGCACACACTTTTGTTCTTGGGGGACTGCCCCACTAGCTCACAGACTTGCCGGGCAGACTGGGACATTCCATGCAGGGCCCAGGGGGAACAGATTTTGGGCTGATGGCTTTGGCAATGAGCAGCTTCCTGGGACCTGCTCTCAAGGTCAGGCTGGAGCCGCTGAACACCTGGGCGTCAGGGCTCTTCTGCTGTGCTATCCTGGCCACCACACCCGACAGGTGCCACCAGGGCTGAAGAACAGCAAACACCCTGGGACAGGGTGGGTCCCGTGAGTCCTCCCTGCCCCAGTGTGCCTGCAGCTGCTGGGACAGCTCCCCACCTGCCTCCCCTCTGGGATGTGGACCCCCACTCGGGGGATGCTGCTGGCAGCCTTCCAGCCTTGGCCAGCTCCCACCCCAACCACTGTGGTCCTGAGGTGATGTGTCCCCAAGAAAGCAGTCTGGGTCTTCAAAGCTGCACCCAGGTGAAGAAGTCTCTACCTCCAGGTCACCCAAGTGAACTCCTAAGCCTACCTGCGGTTGGAGACCCCCAGGGGCTATACTATACACTATACCATTCCTGAGAGCCCCCGGCCTGGGGCTGCTGCAGCCCCGCTACTGCTCAGCACCCAGCCCCCTCCTGGGCCCTGGGGAGGACCAGCTGTGTGACTCATCCCCAGAGGGCGCTGGGACCCGAGGATCACCAGGGATGGTCGGACAGGACTAAAGATTTTCCAGTGAGCGTGTGCAAGCGTGCGATAGGGGCGCAGCCAACACCAGTCGCGCCCTCGCACCGACTCAGGGAATGGGCCCGGCCAAGACCAAGTGACTGGTCCCAGTGCAGAACTAATCCTGAAAAACAAAACAAAGCAAGAAAAAAAAGTCCATTACTGTCCACAGATGTCACGGGAAGCAGTTTCTACCAGCTGCTGGGGTGGCGGCGGCGGATGGACGGAACAGGCTCACCTCCTGATGAAACAGGCGAATTCCGAGAGACAGACTCCATCCTCTGGGCTGTACTAACTTCAGTTGTTAACAATCAACATAATTATCAGACATCTTTCTTCTGCTCACCTCTGAGGACAGCGCTTCCTTGCGCTTTGGAGGCAATGTGACCCGGTTCTGGGGGCGAGAGAATGTTTGATGTACTCCTAATTCTGAAAACAAATAATAATAATAATGATAACCAAAATGAAAACATAAATAGTCTCATTTCAAGGCGAGGGGCAGACGGCAACGGGAGGCTGGCCTGGGTCACCGCGCTGACCACCCCCCACCCCAGCACTTTGGGGGCTGGGGCCTCTCCTGTCGGCCTCTCGTCATTAAACAAGTAAATACAAAGACAGTCACACCGACGTGCGTGACCGTGAAGCCACAACCCCCCGGAGCGTAAGAGCCATTATATCCTTCAAGCGCTTACTAATCCGACCCGGGGGCTCCGGGCCGCGCGTCCGCCCAGGCGCTTTGCGCGGGTGCTTTCCGCGCCACCTCCTCCCGGCTGCTCGGGAGGGCGCACGCGTGCCCGCGGGCACCTGCGGCCCCGGGGTCTGCGGAGTGTGCCCGATCCGTGCTCTTCGAGCGGGGCCTCCCTCCCCCGCGACCGGGGCGCACGGTCCTGGCGCGCGCTCCCCTCTGGTTAACGCGGGGCCCGGGAGGAGGGCGCCGGCGGCGGCGCCCCAGAGGAGTCGGGTAAGGCTCCGAAAACGCCGGCCCAGCCCGGAAGGCGCGCTTGCTCCCCGCGCCCTCGCGACGCGGCCCGGCGCTGAGCCCAGGGCCGGCGGACACAGCCCCGGGAAGTCCGCGGAGGCCGAGGAACAAAAGCCCACGTTTAATACTATGACCCCCATCTTTTTTCCAGCCTGTGTTGAAGACTTTTAATCCTGGCTAAAAATATACATAAAAATTACCATCTTAGGCGTTGTTAAGCCTGCGCTCCGGAGTGTTAGGTGCGTTCACATCGTGCAGCCACCTCCAGCAGCTGGGTTTTTTAACTCCCCATTTCTTATTCCAACACTAGTGGAAATACACACGTGGGGAGCGTGCAGGAGGGGCCTTTGGCCAACCCGCAGAGACCCAGTGAGGGACCCACACACAGGGCAGACTCCTCCAGCTCCGCCCACCCGTGCGGCTGCCACCCGGCGGGCGGGCAGGAGCTCAGAGCCGCGGGGCCCCAGGGCAGCCTGCCCCGCCTCTGAATTACTGGAAAGGCTTTCTGCCTCCTGAGGCCAGACCGTCCTTCCTGGAACCTGTACCCCTTAGTCTTGGGGTCACCCAGAAACAAGGCTCTCATCTTTCTCCAGTATGGCCCTCTAAGGCCGGCAGACACCGAGCCCTCCTGGCTTCTTGGCCTCCCTCCTCAGCTGTTCCCCACGTGTCCAAAGAGCGGGAAGGAGCCACAGCTTGTCTGTCGGGGGCTGGAAAGCGGGCGCGGGAGAAGCTGCCATCCCTGCGGGCAGCGCTTGGTCTCCCGGGCAGAGGGAAGCATGGTGGAGGTGGGGGCGCAGGAATCGCTACTGCGCCCCCCGCCAACCCACTCACTCCAAGGGCCCCTTGAGCATCCGGCAGAGCCATGTGTCCCGGCATGGCACAACCAGGGAGGGCGCCCGGGAAATCACCTGGGACCGGCCCTGGGGACCCATGGAGTGACACGCGTCCCAGCAACTGCTCCAAGCCCCCCCGCCTATGACACCTCTCCCTACCCAACCCAGAAAGCGATGTCTAGGAGCTGGCTCAGCCAGGAAGGGATAGAGCCCCCTGGGGAGCCGGGTGGGCAGGGCTTGGCTGATCACAAAGGCTTCTATGTCTGTGATGACAACAGCTGGTAAGGCCCCCCAGCACTTCTGCCCGCGGAGAGGCCTGGTCAAGGCTGGCTAAGGCAAGTGCCCCATCTAGCTAAGTGCAACATAGGCAGGAAACGACCTTAAAGACACACACAGTGGGCACCCTGGGCTGGGCGACGGGCCTGAGGAGTTTGTAGGGCCTGGGGTGCCACCTCTGTTCCTGTCTGCTCGGGGCCTCTCCCTTCCTCGGCAGCCTTCTCCTTTGGAACTTGACTTTGCCAGCATCTCAGGGCCCTGGGCTCACCCATGCTCACAGCTCCTAGGCTTCAGTCGGATGGGCACATGCCCAGCGGGCCTCTCTGGGTCCTGGTCCCAAATTATAGGAGGGAGAACTCAGTTGGCCCCCAGGGCAGACAGCACCCTAGTCCAATGAACCAAGGCCGGCATCACAAGGACACCAACCGTTGCCACTGACAGCAGGAGGGCCCTAATGTGGGGAGACAACCCCCAGGCTCCCTCACACTGCCACCACCAGAAGGACAATCACAACACCAGAGAATGCAAACTTTGAAAATGTATTTGGCCTGCAACATACCATCACCCAAACTGGAGTCAGGTGCAGGCCTGGGGGAAATATTTGCAGCAGGCACACTGTGGAGAGTGCCACTACCTTCAATATAAAACAGCTCTCTACATCAATACGGAAAACCTGAGCTCCTCAGGGGAAAAGCAAGCAGGGGACATGAACAAGGAATTCCCAGGAGAAAAATGCAATGTTGCTAAATACCTGGTCAAAAACGACGGGCCTCACCTAAACACCCACAGAAATGAAGAGCTGCTCCGTGTTTCAGAAGCTGGACCCAGCTCCACGACGCCATACAAAGGTGGCCCCTCAGTGTTCCCACATGACGGAAACGTGAATGGGACTGAGTCGACGGTACCGATGCTGGCACAACTGCTTCAGGTCCCCTGGGTGTGGGTCAGAAGCTTATGGAACGTGGTGCTCCTGACTTAACCACCCTCCGTGGGAAAATTTATGTGGGAAAGTGACCAGAGAGACACGTGGATTTGCACACACAGAGGGCAATGTAGGCATCCTTGCCAGTAAGTGTGAGGATCACCGTGCCTCCCACAGTGTGAGGGTCAGTTTTACAGGTCTGACTGGGCCACGGGGGGCATGGACACTCGGCCAAACACGATTCTGGGCATGTCTGTGAAGGTGTTTCTGGGTGACATAACCATCAGAATTGGTGGACTAAGTAAAGCAGGGTGCGCTCCCCAGTCTGTGCGGGCCTCATCCGATCAGTTGAACAAAAGGCTGATCATCCCCAAGTGAGAGGGAACCCCGCCTGCCCACTGAACTGAGCTGGGACTCTGGGCTTCTCCTGACTTAATGCTGAGGCCACACCAATGTCTCTTCTGGGGCTCAGATTGCTGACTGCAGATCTCGGGCCGTCTCAGCCTCTGGAATCATGCAAATCAATCCCTTATAATAAGTGTCTTCCGATTTCTCTTTCTGTGTATGTATACATCCTACTGGTTATGTTTCTCTGAGAATGACACCCAGTTATGGATGCCTGCCGAGAACTTTGATGAGGAGAAAAGACGTCTGTCCATTCACATGTTTGCTGAACGCCTGGTCTGTTCCAGGCTGGGCTCTAGCTCCTGAGATGCATCCAGAAACGAAACAAGGACCCCCGCCCCATGGGGTGAGCTCCGGGGGTGGGGGGATAGGGGCCAGAGACAATAAACACGACCAACACATGACGCCGAGAGGGCGCGTTAGAAGAGGATGGGAAAGCAGAAGTGAGGTGACGGGGATGGGGGCCTTGCGGGGAGCGGTTAGCCATTTTCAAGAGGGGTGGCCGTGGTGCTTAGTAGCTTAGAGTGCAACTGTATGTGGAGACAGGTCTTTAAAGAGGCAATTAAGGCAAAGTGCAGTCATTCGTGTGGGTACTGAACCTATATAGGTGTCCTTATAAGAAGAGGACATTTGGACACAGACGTGTGGGGAGGGAGAGTGCCATGTGACTGAGACGGCCACCTACCTGCTGGGGAGAGAGGCTGGGGAGGGTCCAGCCCTGCCCACACCTGGGTCTTGGATTTCAATCCTCCAGCGTTACAAGAAAATAAAGTTCTGTTATTTAAGCCTCCTGGCCTGTGGGACTTTGTTATGGCACGCCTTGCAAACGGGTACTCTGGCATTGAAGAAAAGCCTTCAGGCCCCCAGGGAGTGAGGCGAGTACCTGTTTCAGGGAGACCCTTCCAGCTTGCGGGAGCAGCACGGAGGCCTGAGCAGGATGTGCCTGGCCCCCAAGGACCAGCCAGGAGCCTGGGTGGCCCAAGCAGTGTGAGAAAGGCCAGTGAGGAGGCGAGGAGGCCAGAGAGGTGGGGGCGAGGAGAGCCAGCGTGCTCCCTCGGAGTGAGATGGGAGCCCGGGGCCGACAAGGGGAGGGACGGTCCCTCACATGCTGCATGTACACCTGAAGAGGCCGGGGTAAAGGCCAAAGGCCACATCCCTAAATATGAATCTGCATGTACCTCAACAGACTAAATAATGCATAATGACAAATTTCCATAAAGACACAAACTACCAAGCCAGCTCTGGAAGAAATAGGTAACCTGAATAGACTCATAACAAGTCAAGAGATAAAACTAGTGATTTAAAACTTCCTGGCCCAGCAGGCTTCTCTGGTGAATCCTACCAAATGCCAATGAAGAATTAATACTAACCCTTCACAAACTCTTCCAAATGAGGAAGGAACACTTCCCAACTCATTCTATGAGGTCAGAACCACCTTGATGCCAAAACGACACAGACATCAAAGACATAACTGAAAAGGTAACTACGGACCAATATACCTTATGAATATAGACACAAAAACCTCCACAAAATATTAGCAGGCTGAATCCAGCAACATATAAAAAGGATTCTATGCCATGACCAAATGGTATTTATCTCAGGAATAAAAAGTTAGGTTCATATCCCAAAATCAATTAATGTAAGGCAGCATACCAGTAGGATTTTTTTTTAAAGCACCACATGACCATCTCAGTAGATGTGGAAAAGGTATTTGACAAAATTCAACACACTTCTAGAGACATTTAACAAACTAAGATTAGTAGTGAACCTACAGCTAATAGCATGCATACTAACTGGAGGCTTTCCTCCTGCCACGAGGAACCCAAAAGGAACAGGCTCTGCTCCTGCCACTTGTATTCAGCATTTACTGGGGGTTCTGTGCAGGGTAATCAGACAAGAGCAGACACACGCCGTCCAGATCGGAAAGGAAGAAGTGAATCTATCCCCATGTGCAGACAGCATGAGCTGGAATATAGGAAACCCAAGGAATCTCCTAAAAAGCCATTGGAACTAATAAGATAAGCAAATTTGCAGAATACGAGGCGGAAGCCATTTGTATTTCTATATGCTAGCTAGAATAATCTGAAGATGAGATGAAGAAAACAATCACATTTACAACAGCATCGAGAAGAATAAAATACTTAGGAATAAATTTAACAGAAGTACAAAACTTGTACCTGAAATCACAGGCCTAAAGAAATGAAAAGACATCCCATGTTCATGGATCAGAAGCCTTCATATTGTTCAGGAAAAGCTCTTCGGTTTCTCTGTACTTACTACTCTCAATAGAGCTGTTTAAAAGCATTTTAACTAAAAACAGGAGGTTGTAAATGGTCACATTCAGCACAGAAGCCAGCTAGAAGAAAACTCTTGGTACATAGGCTAGATGTTCACCATGGTTTTCTCTGGGTGGTGGGACCAGAAGTGATTTTTATGTGCTTCTCCTTGTCCAGATTTTTCAAAATGTCTTCACTGAGCACACATTCCTCTGGTAATTAAATAAGATACACAAGCATCATTTTCTCAGCAGTCTTTTCAGACGCACTGGTCCCGGCCCTCCTCCCAAAGTTCAGCTCCCGGCACGTCCTGCTGCTCCTTCCTCCCCGTCCTGGGTCTTGGCTCTGAGCCCCTCCTGCTGGGCGGTTCTCTGAGTCTCCCAGCCCCGCCCTCCTTGGGGACCCCACTCACACCTGGCATCACATGCCTCCGTCCTCCCAGAGCTGCGGCAGTGGGCGGTGCCCTGCCTCTGCAGTTCAGGAGCTGGCCGCTCCGTGATGACGGCGTGATGTGGCCAGTTGGCCTCACCGGGCCCCACTTCCTTGCGCCCCGGGAAGTGATCGCAGCGGTGGGGAGATGGGGAGGAGGCAATA